AAGCGCACCCATTTTCCAACTCATCTTGGTAGGCTATTGACTCGATTTCCGTAAAGACAGCTAGTAATGAAGCGTATATCCAATTTAAGCTGTTCAGTCAAGCATATCACCGCTGTCTATACGATTTTGAGGTAGTGCAATGTTCTGACAAAATTGCACTAAAAAGCTACATGTTCCTGAGGTTAGCAAGGGTTGAGTTGGTGGTTAGTGAAGCGTCCCTTTCTTCCCATCTCTTTTGTTCACACTTGGTATACTGATAGCAGACAGACAGGGTGTAGCTCTTTTCAAAAGGCCGTCACATCACAGTAACTTTTGTAGCGTTGTAGGCGACGGAATTGGGGTTGCAGTTAGCTTGACGTCGTGATAAACATCACCGAAGCAGACGGAAAAGCGAAGACGGCGCAAAACATCATACCATTGATGACATCATAGGTTGCACTTGTTTAAATCGTAACGGTAAACAGTATGGAAGCGGGTGAAAGTGCAAGAATTAACTCAGAGATCTGGGCAAACATCCTTCGCCGGTTGTTGACATCGGATGGTCTCCCCTGCGCTTTATTATAGGGTATGATTTATATTTATATTAGGTTGAACCGAAAGTTCTGTCGCACCATTTTCAAAAAATCATAACTTTTGAAAGAAGGGCTCGATCAGCACAAACATGACTCAGGTAGTAATCAAATGTAAGAAAAATTAGGATAAAGGCTTTTCTGGATTTTATCGCACTGTTTCTGAATTTCTAGAATTCTTGCTTAAAAATTCCAAGGATGATCTCGTTCTTTCATTTCTATCTCTGCCACCTGAGCATGTCCGGAACTCCCCAGGGAGCTTTTGGAAACTACATGCTTTACGCTTTCAGATATAATTTGAATTGCGCAAAATCGTTGTGAGAGAAAGAAGTTATGATTTTTTGAAAATGGTGCGACAAAACTTTCGGTTCAACCTAATATAAAATACATCGAGCAAACGTATAGTATTGAGGCGTTGTTGGTAGATTGATTATTGGATGGACATTCTGTGAGCCGATGATATCAATGTGGTTCCAGCGTAGCCAAAACTATTATTGGATCTATTCTGATGTGTAGAGCCAGTGCACAGCTACGGCTACCGTCTGTGCTTGTATCAGCTTACAATTACTTCCCGGCTGTTGTAACGAGCGCAGTGATCTAAATGCAAGGTGCAGCACGAGGGTGACAAATGAAAATCGGTGGAACGACCGCATTTGACACTATCGATTTTCACGATTTTCCACTTGGTTCCGCCAGCTGCGTAGATTGTTTGATTGGAGCTCGCTTTCTTTCTCAAAAGAATCAGCTTCGTCGCTATTCCGGATCCTAACAAGTAGGACAGAAGTTTTGGAACCAAAGTGTTACTCTATTCTAAAGTGTAGGTGTAACAGATTCATGTAAAAATTTGGAAAAACTTTTTGGAATGGAAATTATCTCTGCCTCAGATGGGCATTATCTTTATCTTTATCTTTAAGTTATAGACGTAAACGTGTGCCAACCTGTGTGAGTAAAGAAAACAGTGCTAGAGTAAGACAGACTAGTCTGTCACCTTCAGCAGGAACAAACAAACAGCGAATTAGGGCCTCAGGTGTTGAGGGAGAAAAATCTCTATTTGGTCAAGGGAGGTCAGTTTATTGGCATTGGGAAATGCCACTGCCACTTTTCCGGGCTGTTTAAAACGTCTGCGATTGGTTCCTGCCAGTTATCCATCAACCTGACACCACCGACGCTTGGATACACCTGCCTTATTCTGGGAAAATCGAGCATGAAACGCTTGTCTATGGTCCCAAAGAGCAGTGCTGTTGCTCATCCGAAAGTGAGTGACAAGCCAGCAAAGCATATTTAGTAAACACGAAAAACCGAGAGACACGAACACGATAAATCGAAAAAAAAGCATGAAGTCGTGAACGACGCAGTAGGAAAGGGCCTAACGAAAGCGGCTGCCGAAAGCGAAGTGGGAAAAGTTAAGTCTGAAACACAAGAGTCGATAAGCAGGTTAGCAAGAGGTAGACCAGAAGCAAGCAGACTTGTAATGAAAACAGACCACAAACAAGTCACAAAGGATTGTCCAGTAACTGGCAAATGTCAACTTTCCTCAGTTTCCTTTTGAACACTCTACAGTTATTAGCACTCAAAACTTCGCGAGATATGCACCGTAACCATCTAGCTCCTCATTAGATGGACAACCGTCCCTAAATTTGGAAGAAAGTTAAGCACACTCTTTATCCAATAAATTTTCCATAATTTCATACTTTGTTCCACACTTCAACCGTGCACACGCACCAAATTTCATGCCATATTCATCCTGTTGCAAACCAACCATTTTATCTTGGGGTAGTGAGAAATTCTCAGAAAAAATTTGCCACAACCTTCGATGACATAATTTCTCAACAATAGTCTGCGCTATGCTCTTCCTATTCCATGTCCGGTTATACGCCGGATTCTTAGGCATCTCGTTTGGTGTGCGAGTTACAACTAAATGAAAAACATTTGGATTTTGAAGATGACGAGCGAGCGTCGTGTTTTTGCATGTCAGTCGTGTAGCAACCTGAAGTGTATGTACATGTAAACCAGTGGCGTACCGAGGGGATGAGTTATAAAAATGTGCAATGTAACTGCGGACTAGTGTTTAGTGGTATCTGAGGTTTCGATAACTGGGCACACGAACAGCTCGAAAAAAGAAAGTTTATCCGTACGAAAACAAACAATAAGAACGGCCTCAAGCCAACAACGAGCGAAAACAACAAGAAAAGACACGAAATCGGGGGGAAATATCCCAATTTAATTCTCGGTAAGTTTTCACGTGGGGAGGTCTGGCTCTTTCCTGACTTTTGACTCCCGCGAGTCTCTTCTGCTCGCGGCTCCCCTCTCTCTTCCCCTTTAATGCCCTGCTGAGAGGTGAAACCGGCCTCTTCTTTTCCCGCCACCAAATATTGTAGACCGGTGATCCTTTCCATCCAACATTACAATAATATTTAAAATTTTTAAATATTCATTTTAGCCTTATAAAGAAATTTTTCTCGCACCTTTTTCTGGTTTGGGGTTATAGGCCCGCGAAAATTATAGGAAGCCTAAAAGCTACTGCATGACGAAGGCGCAAAAGCAGTATCAGTTGAGCGGGCGCGAACGCGGCACGCGCGTACCCTCACCGTTGTAAATCCTCCGCCTCATGCGCTCTGCAGCTAATAAAGCCGCGTTCGCGCTCAAAGATATTGCTCCTTCGTCATGCAGTAGCTTATACCAAAAAAATTGTCGGTGTGCGTGGCTGACGTCACTCACCTCCATCAGAAGAAAAATTTTTGCTGCCAAAAAAATCGCCCCCCCCCCCCCGCCCCGAACGGAAATCCTAGCTAGGCCACTGATGTAAACGTATTTCTACGACATCCCATTTGCAATCCATCCAAAACAGTTTCCAGCTCGACATCCCACCTTTGTCTGAGTAGTGTTCAAATCACGGGTTAATCTCTCGGACAATGAAGCAATCTCTATTCAAAGGATTGACATCGGCAATACGATTGCCTGAGGGACAGAGGAGCAGACGTAGAGATATGCTGATTCCAGCTATTCGTTCGCAGGTTAGTTTGCATCCAGTTGTTGTTTCATTCCATAGTGAGGCCTGATGCGTCCATTCCGAGAGACGGCAAGGCATCCATATTTGTCGCTACTCATTGGATCTTTCAGGAATAAAGAAAAATTACGTTTTAAACATTGTAAATGCGTTTTTCATTTTTTTTATAGTTGGTAGACGATTTTTTGGCCACACAAATATTTGTGATGGGCAGAAACCTATATGTCGCTCTTATTGTTTGAAGCTGGCTATAAATCAAGACTCAGCTGAGCTGAAGAATACTTCATTTTTTAATGGATCAGATAAGACCGATCATTTCACCTACTGATGTTGAAGGTTGAACAATTAATCTTGAGTTATTTAACATTTAATGCTGAAGTGATTACAGGCTGAAATTTTCCCGGCAAAAACGTGATGTCTCTCTAGCAAGATGATGTTATCTTATGTTATGAGGCGAGTTTCAAACTTATTTATTCTACTCGTATTGATCTGCAACCATTTTCACTACTGGAGATCGCCGTAAATAATGCAAGTCAGGCGATTTTTGTAAGAATTTTTCAAACATTGATTCTATTACGGTAATGAGTAACTAGATCATTGTTTGTTTGTAAGGTAACTCACTTTTTTCGCAGTAGGTTCATTGCCTCAGAAGGCTTTCGTCTCATTGCAATAACTCTTTTTGACAATAAGCTCTAAAATATTGTGAGATGAATTTGCAACTGTTTTGATTTCTTACTGTAAATCTCGAGATCTTGGCTTCTCCAACTACAGACCTTCTAAAAGCAGCATGTTTACTGACGGCGCTTAGGGTGATGTTAGTCTCAGTGTACCTTCCCTTATCTTTTGCATTATGAGTGACTATTTACTGATTAGGTTACCAACGGTCAAGTAGACTGTCCTAGCAACAGCTCTTTGCAAACCCACACAAAATTGAACCAGGAACTTCGCAGGCTGTTTCCTGGTCCAATTCATTCACGATACGATTTCAGTACGAGATTGATTTCGTTTTAATATTTGTAGTCATTCGGGCTCAAATAAGTTTGATTTTTAGCTTTTTTTAAACTTAAAAACGGATATATTTTCAACTTACTATTTTTATGCTTGAATCTTCGCCTTTCATTTTATACTTGAGCATAAATCGCCTCTGTAGTGTACGGTCACATGTTTTAGTCCATTTGCAGTTCATTTGATCACTTTTTGACTTTCTTTTGCCATTCCAAAGTTCTTCCATCAAAGAGCTAGAATTTTAAGTGTCATGATATTTTTTCTTCCTTATTGTTAGATATAACGTTTGTCTCAATTAGTCTCAGATGATCGGTAAGAGATGTCAGAGAGGTCGGCTGAATAATCAGAAGAGACTAACTATCGAGAATAATATTTTTTATAATAAAGAAAATATTGTTCTGCTAAACTTCAGGTGACATATGGATTTGGGGACATTGCTTCTTGCTTTTGGTATAGCATTCATATTAGTTCTGATCTTGCGATGGTTTATCGAACTGTTTGTGATCAGAAATCTTGAAAGTAAAGCTGTATTCATTACTGGATGCGATAGCGGTGAGTGAGAAATATGTACCAAGGAGTAATTTACTCTGAGATTGGTCAGCGATCTGTGCATATTCTCCGCTTCGTATTAAGACCCTTCTCCAGCCAAGTAATTCAAGTTGTATGCAAAAAAATTGGTCCAAATGAAAGAAATTTCTGGACATTTTGAGTTATATGTTTGTTACAGGTTTCGGGAGAGATTTAGCTATACGATGTGCAGAAAAAGGTATGCCCGTATTTGCTGGATGCTTATTTGAGAAGGTATAATTCTTGCTACGCTTCATAATCAGGGCTCGGCTTAGGTGGCTTGTAAGTGTAAGCAAGCTGGGTATCATTTTTTGACAAAAAGCAAAGGGGGTTTCGTTTTTGAGACCGAAAAAACACAAAAATTGCGACTTTTTTTAGTCGACGTTTCTTTTTTGGATATTTCTTAAGAATTATGGTGGGGGGTCAAAGGGTACTTAGTAAAAATCCGCAAAGATCAAGGGGGACTTCGTTTTTTGCATTTTCAACTAGCCACCTCGTGCCGAGTCCTGTTCGTAATGCTCAAACGCTGTAGTTCAAAAATCAATCTTGCTTTAGTCCATAAGTGAGTACCAAGAACTATCAAGAAATTTTCGCATTCCTATTGATGCATTTATTGTGGATGTCACCAAGGATGATAGTGTTACTAATGCGAAAAGATACTTGGAATACAAGACAAAGCAATATGGAGGTAACTTTTATTTTCGAAATCTCTTGTGATAATCAAAAAACCCATTTTAGGTCTGCACGGAGTAGTCAATAACGCTGGTATTCTTGGTAACACTTTTTTCGACGATTTCCTTACTTTGGAAGACTATAAAAATGTGGCTGAAGTCAATACGTGGGGTGTCATCCGAGTAACTCACGCTTTGAAACCTTTGGTAAAGAAAACCAGGTTTGCGCATCTCTGTGACTTACCCCAAAAATCTGGACTCAGGTTTTTTGCAGGGGTCGAATAGTGACGGTAACGAGCATATGCTCGCGCATCGGTTTGTCTGGAATCGGTCCTTACACAACGGCCAAGTTTGCGGTGGCTGGATACTGTGACGTTATCAGTTGAGAATCAGTCGTACGAATTCTCTTTTCATTTTCTGCAAATAGTTTGTTCCAGAGCTGAACTGCGATCGTTCGGAGTTTCCGTGCACATACTAGAACCGGGTTTCTTCAACACTTGGTTAACTAGCGCTGAGAATGTTGAGGTAAATTGAGTTTGACGTGTCTTCATAACTAGGACCCACTGATGTGAGCTGCACTGCGAGAATAGAAGCACTCCGGAAAATTGACAAATTCGCGGATATGGTTCAGTAACTTTGGTGCCGTTATGTTATCAGGCTGCGTCCAGAGTTGCCGTGCCAGCGCTTGCAGTCGATCGATACGTCGCGTTGGCACGGCGCTGGCACACGAGCAATTCTGGACGAAGTCTCAGAGACAATGTATTATAACAAGCTGCACCCTCAAACTGAAAAGAGAGATATATCACCAGAAGCGCCCTTACACTCTTATTTTCTTATCTATGGAACGGCTCTCTAGCAAAATTTATGAGCGTTTGAGTTTGCGAATTATGCAGCTTCGATAAATGAGGGGCATACCGACTACAAAGAAAGATTACACCCGCAGAACGCGTAAGTGATTTTTTTACACTGTGTCGTCCTGTGAAAGTACAGCACTACATCCGTCGTTTATGGACTATCATTGTTTTGGCGTTATCTCGTCCAAAGTGCAACTTGATATTTTTGACTTCGTTAGAAATCTTTTGTCAATTAATTGGAGAAACGAGAGGAGTAAAGTACTATTGCTATGGAAAGAAAAAATGTCGCTTTTCATTTTCCTGTCATGGCATCGCAACAAGGCACATCCCAAAGACATGTACTGGGTAGCATTCGATAAAGCAAAGCAAGCTCTACAATATGGCATTACTGTTTTTGCAATAAGTTATGACCATGTGAAGGTGGAAGATGGAATCCAAAAAGTTTCAAAAGACCGAAAAATTAGCAAAAAATAGTATCTCCGTCCAAAAAATTTCTACAGACATCAATTATTCATATGCGCTGTTGCTGTACTTCTTGGCTATACATTGCAAAATCGAAAATTTTCACACTTCTGCCAAAGTGATGCTGGGCTGTTCCGCCTGTCTAGTTCTATACCACTTAGCTTGGAATATACAACGGTAGATTTCCAACCTTCTACAGGAGTTACTTCTCAAGAAGTATCAAATATAGCTTTTTTCCTCTGTTTCCCAAATCAAACTCAATATCGCTCGAGAACTAACTCTTGTATAAGGTTGGAAATCTACCGTTGTGCTTCCCAAACTAAGTAGCATAGAACTAGACACGCGAAAACAGCTCAGCATCACTTTAGCAGAAGTGTGAAAATTTTCGATTTTTCGAAGTCTAGCCAAGTAAAAAGTACAGCAACCGCGCATATAAATGTTTGATGAAGGGTGCAAGTCCCTGAGCAAATTAGGGGTTCGTAAAAATTTTTTGTACAGAGATACGATTTTATTAATTTTTCAACCGTTCAAAACTTTTTATTAGGTTGATGCATAATTTCTGCACCAAAATAGATACAGACCGCAATAACTCGCAATAATCTTATATCCCAAGTAGGTTCGATATATCATTAGATAGAGCAAACCTAGCTCTACAAGGTAGCGCTCATAGTTTTGCGGCAGCTTTGATCCAAGCGAAGACTGAAGCCAAAAACGAAAAAGATCCAAGCCCCCAAAAAGCCAAGAAAAAATTGGAAGTCAGTTCAGAAAAATCCTTCAAAATTTCTAACTTGCTCATGCATTGTCATTTCGTATAAAACAATTCTCTATGCAGTTGCAGTATTTTTCTCTCAGCTAGAAATTGAGAAAACGAAAGTTTTCACGTTTTTTCCAAAACAATGCTGAGATGTCTAGCACTGATAGTTGTATACTATAGGACCTTAGAAGCGTAAGTGTAAATTTTCAGCTTTTTACAGCAGCTGGTTTACGAGAAATACCGAATTTTTGGCAACTACTCAAGAAAAATTCGAATGAAGAGAGCTAGATTCGTCATTTCTCGTGAACTAGCTATTCTAGAAGGCTGAAAATGTAAAGTTTCACTGATAATGGCATGTACTATGCAACTGTTATTGCTAGAACATCTCAGCACTTTGGCAAAAACATGAAAAACTTCGTTTTCTCATCGTCTAGCTGAGAAAAAAATACAGAAACCGCACAAATAGATGTCTTACGTGGAATATCTACGCGTGAGCAAAAAAGAAATTTTGTAGAAGCTTTTTGAACGAAGTTGCAATTTTTTTTAAATTGGTCTTAAGATTTTTGGACGCATGGTTTTTTTCACTTTTCGACTCAAAACTTCGCGTGGATCAAAGCTGGTGTAGATATTCGAGTACTATCTTGTAGAGCTAGGTTTGCTCTATCTAATGATGTATCGAATCCTACTTGGGATATAGGATTAGTCCGGGTTATTGCGGTCTGTACCTATTTTGGTGCAGGAATTATGCATCAACCTAATAGATTCCATCTTCCAACTTCACCTGGACACAACTTACTGCAAAAACAGTAGTGCCATTTTGTAGAGCGCGCTTTTGTTGGGGTTTGTCTTGTTGCGATGCCATGGCAAGGAAATAAAAACCGACAACTTTTTCTTTCCAAACTGATGAAAGGCACTGTACGAACTTTCGATGTACCTACTGCGATTCGCCCCCACTTTCTTCAGAGATTCTCAGAGATTTCTTGGCAGTAATAAGGAGATAGTTCTGAAGCAACTGTAACAATAGCTGAAGTAACTGCGGAGTAACAATTATGTAAAATTATTTTTGATTCGATCAACCATAAGTCACTTTTTGCGCTTAGTGGTTCATCGAACTTCGAAAGGGCTCACATTTTTTAGCAATTAAAAACACTATTGCAAGAAACGATTAGGCTGCTATGACTTCAGTTACGTATACGAAACGCTGAACTAATGAACCTTTCATCACTGCAAATTTCAGAATCAACTTGATGAGCTTTACAATAAATGTACTGATGAAACAAAGAGCGAATACGGGAGGGAATTTTATGTCAAAAGTAGGTTTTTTCTAACTTTGTTCCAAAAATGACATATCATTTTAGTGCGCCAAAAAACTACAGCTATGCTGAGCTCTATAAGCAGCAACAGAATCGACTACGTCACTGATGCTTATTTCCACGCTTTAACCGCGGTATTTCCGAGATCGCGATATCAAGTAGGGTGGGACAGCATTTTAGTGTAAGTTGATAGTCGAACTGAATTTCCAGCCATTCACTTTGTTTTTCGATTGGTAATAGCATTCACGTTTCAGATATATACCTCTCTCATATCTACCAACTCCTCTTTATGATTTTATCACACGCGTTGGGGAAAAAGCAATGAAGATTCCGACGCCGGCGGCTTTGCAGAACACCAAGAAACACTGATCTCCTATCACCGCCTCTGTAACCTCTTTTTTTCCAATGAACCTTGTCACTATAACGCTAAATTGAACATTGTCGTTGAGGCCACATATCTCAGCGCACATTTCCACTCTCTTTTTTCGCTTGCAGAGCTATTCCATTTCCCCCATGAAAACCCACCCATGATTTGACGCAGATCCTACATTGTTCAATTCTGCGTTTCATCGAATTTGTAAAATTTTAATTTGAAAAGGTTGATGTTTATAGATATCCTGTGCGATCTAAGAATTTGAGACTGACAGAGGTCAAATAGCTTGGCACCACACAGTTAGCACATCGTTCCGAAGATTAGGAAATGAGGCGTCTTTTCTGCAAAAAAACCTTTTCTCTGAAGTCTGAATTCCGAAAAGATTCAAAGTATGAATAGTATCTTTCCCGAGAGGTAGTTTCTCGGAACTTTCGGAAAAGATGGGGTCAAAAATGCGAACACAATGAGTACCGTACTCTTATGAATACTTCTTTTATGGAGCACCCTTTAGTGTCCAGTGGTGGGCACTTGTGTGCTGACTGCGCTTACGAAGACCGGAAGTGCAGACTGCTGTAGCGGAACCGTCTTGAATTTTTGTACCAATTACCGCTTTGGGGTTTAGAATCTTACGGAACAGATCCAAGAATGTTCGGAGTATGAGAAAAATTCAGTAAGAACCACAAAAAGAGCAGAATTCTTGTCCAGCCGTGCCGTCAAATTCCATGGTTCCACACTTATCCGGGTCGACTGTAAACCAAACAAAGTTGCCTCGGGTTCAAGATCGGCCGGATATGATTTTAAACCGAGTAAACGCTGCTTCAAAGGCTATCTCGGAAGAAAGCGTCTGCTCTTGTGAGCGAGCGGAGGCATGAGCTTTAATGGTGAAAGATGCTCGAACAGCGTTCGCATCGCCTCGCGATGTACCATGAGTTCAAACCCAGTTGAAACGGAGTTAGATTTGGCGGGCGTCCACCTCGCAATATTCGCGCGGTTTCGCCGCTATAGTTTACATCGTGGTATGAACCCACTTCTGCGCCTTTTCATTCTCCTCAGTCTTTGCTAGGCAGAATGCGAACGCTGGAGCTTGCAAAGCCTCCAGTGGTACGGACCAGCTCCAGGTCAAATTTTCCTTCAAACCAACTGCCTTTGTCAGGGATCAGCCTTTACAATTGAGGAAGCTTTCTTACGAAAATCGTTCACTGTCAATTCGAACCTTTGAATGCTTTCTTGTTGGCTACAATCATTTGAAGTAAAGTCGGCGACGATATGCTAGTCTCGAATTACAGGTCAAACTGTTGCATGATCTTTTGTCCATCGATCCGCTCCCTTCACAACGCAGCTAGACGACCATCTCACTCTCTGTAGGGTTGCAGCTTGTCTCAAAACACAGGTCTTCTTGATCCGCCTAGTCTCTCGCCATGTTCATTGCCATTCAGATACTATCAAACTTGAACACTTTGCTTTTAATGTGTGAGGCGGACCAAAAGAATCCAGCAAAACGCACATTCCCGCTGTTATGTCTGGTGCCGGGCGTCCTCCTAGCAATCGCAGCTACAACATATTATATCGTGTTAAGAACTCGTGTTGTGTCTCTTCGTTAGGTTAAAACATACTGTATCTATCGCCATAGCAGCTGCCGAGATGGCTTACGGGCAGCGTTCGCGTCTACGCCCCCCCCCCCCCCCCAGAGTGCCGAAGCCACGCCAGCGCCGAGCTGTCCCATTTGTTCGGGGCGGGGCTAGCTGACCCTGTGCCAAGGGCTACCGGAGCTTCGGCAGGTTCGATCAATAGTCGGTACATCTACCTGGCTGAGAACTAGGACAGCCATCCCCACCCCAACGAAATGCACGTGTATCGATCGAAACAGCGCCGGGGCAGCTCGGCGCTGGCTCGGCGCCAGCGCAGCTTCCGCACTCTGGCGGGAGCCTTAGCATTCGCGAGCATGAGTGACCACAGTTGCAGTGTTCGGCAACAGTGCGCCAAGCATGCTCGCAAGTATTCAGGCTACAGCAATACTTCTTACTGGCGTTTCCGAAGTTATATGCCGGAAATCGCGCGTTGCGGCGGTGACTATTACCAGCGGAGTCGTTCACAGCAAAAGCAAGGTTTTCGGACTCCCAATATTTTGTCAAAATGCAGAATGTGCAAGGGGGATCACGTAATCAAAACTAGATGAGATAAGACAGACTTGAGTTTTCCGCTCTTTTAGTTTAGTGTCAGTCGATCAATCCGTGTCTTTCGACCATTTCTCCGTCTTTGATCAGTCGACTCGCGGACATCTGCCACAAACCATGCCTCTTAGAGCACGTCCAAGTTTTACACGCGGACAGACCTCACCGGTCTGACGGTCTTTCGCACGAGCGGTCTCCAGCGGCGCCCTGATTTTAACTTGTCTTAACACTTCACGCACGCCGCAAATCTCTCCTCCCCTGCTTTGCTTAGGTAAATGCCGCCGCAGGGTGTTTCGCGCGCGATGGTGGCCCTGTGCGGAAAGCATTACGGTCGTGCGAAGCGTCCTACACCCCCTTCGCAGGCTGATAAAAAGCCCTACCTTCCGTACACTTAGAACCCCCTTACGATGTGATATGAACAGTTGGAGTATCACCAAATCGGGTCGCGACTGGAATTGCGTAAGGTATGCCCAGGGCCTGAGGCCTTGAATATATCGTCCCCTCCACAGCTCGTGCTACCCCTGGTCTGCGTCTCAGACCTGCCACGTGTGGCTAACATGTTGGCAACGTGGCAACAACATTTTGCAACATGCCACAACATGTTGGCGTGGTCAAAATGTTCCGCCAACATGTTGTGGCATGTTGCAAACATGTTGTTGCCACGCTGCCAACATGTTAGCCACAGTTGCAAGCCTGAGACGCAGAGAGGGTAGCAGCAACTGTGGAGGGGACGATAGCTATTAGTTCACGCGCAGATTTTACCGCATCTCACCTGCAGTGCAATACACTGTATTAAGCGGAAAATCTCTTGACTTTGATTGCCCATGTTCGATCGTTTTTGAATCTTGGCATTCGTGGTAGTTGTGGAATTGGTGTGCGAATGTTATTCCAAGATTGTTAACAGTTCTTTGTTGAACGTTTCGGCGCTTTCGCCTTCTTCAGAGTCTGGAAGTCGAAGTTTTAGGGTTGCTTGTAACTTCGACTTCTGTAGGAAAAGCGCGAAATATCTGCGCTATTGGTCCATCTTCCTCGCCCCGCCTCAAAGCGCCTCGGGGCTATATAAAGCAATGTGCCCCGCCCACAAGAGGTTCGGACTTGAGGCAGCTTCGCAGCTGCCTCTTCAACAAGATCGTCTCCGAATCTCCCCCCCCCCCCCCCCTCATTTTAATCACCCGCCCTCCATATTTATTTAATCTCTAATCATTTGTTTATTCTATTATTCCCCTTCGTATAATTGCCTCGTATTTATTCACGTATTATATTATATTGTTATGTTTATGTAAGGTTGAGCCGGAGCACTAGCTCCTGCTTGACTACCCTCTATCTCAAACTTATCTATCCTCCACCTATCTATCCGCTATCTTATTTCTTATCCAATTAATCTTATAAATATATCCCGCCCTGTTTTGCCGTCTGCCGCTATACTTCTACATCCTATACTTTGTTTATATATGCCTGATAAATGCTTAGTAAGGAAGCTAGTTGAGTTTTGTATATGCCGGTTGAGAGAATAGGAAGTAAGCGTTACTGAAAGTCCAGCTACGGTGCCACTCTTAGCTTAACGACAACCATAAATCATAAATTCGTTACATGGAGGTTCCGGACCGGGTTTTACCACTATAAAACTCGGCAAAAGAACAATTTTTTTACTATCATATCTAATTCAAAAAAAAAACATTTATCCATCTCTATAAGCGCAATTAGTCACATCTACGCCAATTCTATTGCAAGGCTACATGAAAATAATTTAAACTTATGTGACTGGAGCAAACTGCTCTCACTATTTTCATGGCGTAGGAAAAGCCTGGCCAGGTCCGTCTAAGCGTCACCCTTGCAACTAAGGTAAACAAAACAATTAAGTGATCGCTCACAAATTCATGCGCAGTAATAAGTAAACACTAATAAATTAAAATTTTCCACTCAACCTCCAAGTTTCGTAACGCATCATCATCAACTACTTCCTAACTCTTCCCATGGCATCTTCCTAACATCTTCCCATGGCATTCGCTTCAATCACATAGCTCACGCATATACAAAGAGTCTAGCACACACAAAAGGTATAATCCCCACTCAATCACAAACATCTGCCTAAGACCCCCCCCCCCCCGTTGTCATCACCCCTAAAGTAGGCGTGGTCTCAGAAGCACCTCACCATATTCATTCTTACATGTTCATGCACCAATAAACGTTCCTCTTTCTCCTTAACTTTTGTCCAATTTTGAAGCATAGGGTTGAAACTCCTTAACCCCCACAAAACAAAACACAAAAGGCTTCCTAAGTCCCATAACCTTGTTGTAGTATAATTTTTTCGTGATTAATCTGCATAACTATTCCAGAAATATCCTCAAAGAAAAGATGCTTAGCCGCGCCATCATGTCGAAAATCCATCACCACCTTTTGACCAACGATTACACTCGGCACGCGAAATACCTGCGCTATTGGTCCATCTTCCTCGCCCCGCCTCAAAGCGCCTCGGGGCTATATAAAGCAATGTGCCCCGCCCACAAGAGGTTCGGACTTGAGGCAGCTTCGCAGCTGCCTCTTCAACAAGATCGTCTCCGAATCTCCCCCCCCCCCCTCATTTTAATCACCCGCCCTCCATATTTATTTAATCTCTAATCATTTGTTTATTCTATTATTCCCCTTCGTATAATTGCCTCGTATTTATTCACGTATTATATTATATTGTTATGTTTATGTAAGGTTGAGCCGGAGCACTAGCTCCTGCTTGACTACCCTCTATCTCAAACTTATCTATCCCCCACCTATCTATCCGCTATCTTATTTCTTATCCAATTAATCTTATAATTATATCCCGCCCTGTTTTGCCGTCTGCCGCTATACTTCTACATCCTATACTTTGTTTATATATGCCTGATAAATGCTTAGTAAGGAAGCTAGTTGAGTTTTGTATATGCCGGTTGAGAGAATAGGAAGTAAGCGTTACTGAAAGTCCAGCTACGGTGCCACTCTTAGCTTAACGACAACCATAAATCATAAATTCGTTACACTTCCAGGCTCTGAAGAAGGCGAAAGCGCCGAAAGGTTAGCCGTCAATAAACTGTCAACAGTCTTGAAATAACACTCATACACCAATTCTACTACTTCCACTACTTGACTGTATTAAAACTTAATATCTGGACATGCCTTCATTGGATTGTTTCAGACTGCCGCACTGACCGCAGCAGACTGCAATTGACCGCACTGACCGCACCGGTCGCTGCTTCCTTTCCTATAAGGAAAACAACTGCGATTATTAAAACACCGTGATTTAAGCCTAAGAAGGTCATAAGTTCCATCACAATTCTTCGCAACCAAATTTTGGCGATAGTTTTTCTTTGGTATGTTCGTATTTGTTGTAATTCCTCCTATCATTGCATATACCTGTTTTGTAACATTCTGGCCCGTGTTGTCTTTTGCTTTTAGGTATAAGCTCCTGCAAGACGAAGGCGGTCGCTTCAATGTGCAACGCGGCTGCGACATGGCTGCGTCACAGCAGCGTCACAGCCGCGTCACAGCCACGTCGCGCCTCGAACCAACCGCCTTCGTCTTGCAGGAGCTTATATATTGGTTGTTGTTTGTTTGAGCCACAATTATTTATCCTCTCCACCTTAGCCTCAGCCGCAGCGACGTTGCAGTCAGTGCGGACAGCTACAGTCAGCTGCAGTCTGCTGTGGTCAGTGCGGTCAGCTGCAGTCTGCTGCGGTCAGTGCGGCAGTCTGAAACAACCCATTCGACAAGCCTAGATTTCGGTTGAAACAGATCCGTTCCTAAAGCTTTCAGGGCAAATAGCAGTAGCGATACACGTCTGGACACGACTGGACAAGATAATCGGTTGCACGCATCTTCGCCAAACGCTTGTTTTCCCTGACCGTAACCTACAAGCGCGGGAAGACATCATTCTTTGTGATTTCCGCGCATGTGATCAGAAGAGTGTCGCCCGAGTTCGCATGTTGGATTGATGGGTGATAGGAGCTGTCTACGTCTCTATGAAGGTAGGAGACGATTCTGTTCTGCTTGCACTGCAAGTGAAATGCGGTAAAATCTGCGTGTGAATAAATAGCTACCCCTCTGACGCCACCCAATTGTTCGTGCAAAACACCGCCATTACTGGGTAGCTGTTCACTCTCTTACCGCATTTCACCTGCAGTGCAAGCACACTGTATTGAGCGAAAAATCTATGTACTTGACTGCAAAGTGGCCGCCTATTTCCGCAGGGGGATTGGAAGGCATAATTGATGGCAGAGGCAAACTTGGAGTGGAACTTTCACCTGTGGTAACTGATTGTGGGACTCTGAGGCTCCGTTCAGAGTGCTGGAGCTGTACCAGCGTTGGAGCGTCGCGGTGTTTCGGCGCTGCCTCAGCGTCAGCAAAGCTTCGGCACTGCGACAAAACGTGCAAAATTAGTAACGTAAAAAACCCGCTTTCTTGCACCCCAAATAACTCACGGTAGCGGAGCCCTACATTGGACTAATGCACAATTTACGCTATAAAAACTTGCTGGCGCTATTCCAATATCCGGGCCCCAAAATTTTCTTCTCATGGATTTTGCTGAAACTTAGCTCACAGGGGTTATTCGGCCCGCTGATGCCAAATATCACCTTGGTTTTGTACCATAGCGTCATTTTCTCGAGTTACGGTAGGTACACGGTGACGGGTGGAAAACCTACTTCTGCCTGAAACGGGTGTACGGCGATTCGGACGCTTGTGAAGCCTTGCACACACGACCACCCCCGCGCGCTACACACCCTGCTGCTGCTTTTGCCTAAGCAAAGCGCAGGGGAAGGATACATTTGCGATGGATTTTGACCCCTACCGTAAACCCACCGTAACTATGAGGGAGACGTTTTCGTGCGGAGAAAGTGTGACATTTCTAATCAGCATGTAGAATAACCCCTCTGTGCGAACTTACAGCGAATATTAAGATTTTCACCCCCTACCGTATACTCACCGTAACTCGAGAAAATGACGCTACGGTACAAAACCATTGTGATGTTCGGCGTCAGCGAGCCGAATAACCCCCTGGGTCAAGTTTCAGCGAATTTTGAAATTGACCCCCTACCGTATATCCACCGTAACTCGAGAAAATGACGCTACGGTACAAAACCAATGTGATATTCAGCATCAGCGGACCGAATAACTCCCCTGGGCCAAGTTTCAGCAAAATCCATGCCAAAAAAATTTTGGGGCCCGGATACTGGTATAGCGCCAACTTGTTTTATATATGAGTTGCTAGCAATGCGCTAGTCTGCAGCACTTCTCACACCCGTATCGTTATCAATGCGGTCTACAGGGCTCCTAAATTGCAGAGTCGTTTGCACCAGCGGTCGCGCGACAGCGTCGCGCCCGGGCATTTTGCCGGCGCCGGCGCCATCGATCGTCGTATCGTTCATTCGTTGACCGTACGGACTGCCGACCGCGTGGCGACTGCGACGCGTGCCTTCTAAACTTGCGAAAAAGTGACAAGTTGGACCGTGGCTTAAGATGAGAAGAATTCTTTGTTTCTTTTCTACATTATAAAGATGAGAAGAATCCTCTGTTTTCTTTCTATTCATCTTTTCTACGAAAACATCATGCACGCGCAGCGGTCGCCGCGCGGTCAGCAGTCGTTACGGTCAACGAATAAACGATACCTATAGTTACAAATGGCTGCGAAGAGCGCGCCCCATGTCCCAGTGCAAATCTGTATTCCGCGCCTGGCGTTAAGGGCGCACACCCTATAACTTTCAGCGCAAAACAAGTGACACTGAAGGGAAAACGACTCCTTTCTGCAGCAGAATCACAAGAACAAGTGCCGTTGTTAACGTGCGATGATTAAACTTTCATCTCTTGCCATGTAGATCATTTTTCATTAATAGGTGCCTCAAGAACTTAGCAGAAAGTAAGATTTGTTTGTGTTTAAACAGAGAGGGGCTTTCTACCGAACATGTTTGTTTTACGGCAGCCGTAACAAGAAGAAAGCTGCAGATCCAAGTGTCAAGAGGTAAGTATCATTCACTCTGAAACTCAAGAACGCTTCAGTTTCAAAAGTACTTTTGACTTATCTCATTTTTGATGATAGACCACTTGGATGAATTAGTTCGAGCATATTTAGAAAACTTGTAGATACAAAGCGTTTTCGAGTTTTCTATCAATGGGTAGTAGCTTGCCGGTGAGCGTTGTAAGTTCAGATGGATTTCGAGTTTAACTGTTCGTGAAAATCACTGCGTATCAATTTCGGCAGCTTAGTTATGTAGGCATACGTACCTCCAGCCAGGTAGGGCGCTGTCGCGCTCTCTACTTTACTACTTAGGCTGAGATATACCTGACGATGACGACCCACTCATTTTTCGCTACTTAGTCTTCGTTCATATTTCACAGATGGGTGGATAAGTGTACAAAAGCATAAGTATGGCCTGTGAGAAATATGTGTTTCAGATACCTCTCGCTTCTTTGCCTCTCACTCCTCATTTGAGCGCATTCCTTAGGTAGCTATTGCGAACTGAAGATAAAACTGCTTTCCATGATGTCATAACCAAAAATTATGTGCATGCAGTACAATGAATTGAAGGAACTTTCTTCAGAAGTTTCGATGGTGTAGACCCGGCCTCTCTAAGCTTCACTTTTGCGACAGATGGAAAGAAAGCCTGTGTTGTTGAACGGAGAGTCCACCTTTCATGGTTGTTATAGACTCAGACCATGAAGATACGGTCCATTTAGTATAGAGAACGAGATGTGCATTCTGATTTGCTTATCGCGAGTACGTACGCAACAAGGCAGCCAGATTGGTCTTCAGAAACAAAAGCAAAAGCAAAAACTACGGACCTATACAAGGCTCTTCAACCCTTAGCATCAAGAAACGGAGTCCTGCTGCACAAAAGCTTACTATAAGAAAAAGATCATACAAGATTTCATGCAAGAAGTTCACAGAATAGATCATTCATGTACAATTCCTAGTCTTTCATCGCTGGCTTGTTGCCGACGGCTCAATGACATCCTCCCCCCTCGTTCCATTATACAGATAAGCTGTCATTAATCAAGATCTTCGCTAGTTAGCCTATGTAGCCCAAATAGTAGACATGTATGCCTGAATTGCACGCTCCGACACCAAACGCCCTGCGCGCCGGTCAAATTTGCATTGGGTCATGGGGCGCGCTCTTCGCAGCCATTTGTAACTATAGGTACGAGTCATCGATCGAGGCGGCGCCGTTAATGCCCGGGCGCGACGCGGTCGCGCGACCGCTGGTGCAAACGACTCTGCAATTTAGGAGCCCTGTAGACCGAAAATAGACGGAGTCCGCCACATAACTGTTCGCGGCTTGAACGACAGTTATCAGATCGTGCTAACAAGGGAACGGTCAGAATTCAGTGGCCAATTCTAACACGCTGCATACCATCAGATGCAGCATAGAACGCTGATTTCAAATCTGTATTCCTCATTTGCTTAGAGCCTATTTGGGCGAAGTTATGAGCCATTAAAAACCGTTATTTTGTTAAGAGATCGTGCATGCAGAGCGCAAATTTGGCAGTACAGAGCCATGTTCCGCTTACTGGGCCAGAACATGCAGCTAGGTTACTTTATATTCTGAAAGCCTGAAGGTGAGCTTAAGGTGCAACGATGCGCTAAATTTCGCAAGTTTTATGTGCGATTTTTTTCGCAATAAAACTGCTCATAAGTCCGTCCACAAAGGTGCTAAGCAGGTATGGAATACATATTTATTTGAAATCAGCGTTGAATATCGCATCGAACGGTAGGCAGCTCTGGGATAGGCGACTTCTGACCATTCTCTTGTAAGATTTTACACCAAGTACAGCAACTCGCCGTCACCGTAGCTGCAGTTGGTACAGTCATCGCTAACATCTATTCACGCTTGGCACACTGTAAGGCCTCGGGCAGGGTTCACGCGATTTCATAGTCGCGATTGGTCGCGACAAGTGTTACGAGTTCATTGCATGCCGACCTTCTTGTATTTCGGTTGTGAAAGTTGGTCACAATTAGTCGTTTTGGAAAACTATCACAGCCGAAATGTAGGAAGATCGGTATGCAATGATATTGTTACAGTTGTCTTGTCGCGATCAATCGCGACGATCAAATTGCGTGAGCTCTGCCCGAGGCCCAAAGCCTAAGGCATACCTCACGTGATTCCGGTCGCCGCATTTCGACACAACAGCGACTTCGTAATTCGTCGTGAATGCGCTGTCTTTGGTCAGAACTTGCTCCGTTTGCAACAACTTACACAAGCTACCCAAGTATGCGTCCGAGAAGCGCGCACGATAAATTTGCAGAGATCTGGCAAGTCGCCAAGTCGCGTCAAAGTGGAATTCGGCCGAATCGCGTGAAGTATGCTTTAGGCCTAACGCCGATCTTTTCTATCGCTAATTCAGATAACTGTTTGCGAAGAGCGGCATCATAGATGGGTGCGGTCACTAAAAGGAAGAAAAGATTTTCAACGAGGAGTGAATCCGAAGACACAACTAAGTTCTGTTTATCTATTCTAAATACGCAAAGAACCTGTTCTTTGCAGGCACGCCAAAATTGAAAGCGATGAAGCGGAACCAGCCTCAAAGCGCTTCTGCTTGGCTCTTGATGCTCCTAGAGCCTTTGCATCAGTGGAAAAAGCACGACGTACAAGATTTTCTACTGCTCAGGCCAAATCGCTCGTAGTGCTCGTCCGCGGGCTTCCTGATGACGTATGTTCCTGATAGTTTTTTGGAAAAGAATTTAGTTGGATTGATTAACTCTAAACCGGTATCCTTGAACAATACAGTAATCATCGTGGTGGGTGTAAAAATTCAAAGTGTCTGAGTAATAAGTGCACTGTTTCGAATAGTTGACCCTTTGATCCAGCAGCTCGACAGCGTTCACCTCATTCTTACATTTACTAATCTACAATTGTGTCAACGGTATGCTCTCTTTCCGATCAGCTCAAGCACAGCGGTAGAGCCATGCCGCGTTCGCGGGCGTGCTCTCAAATTTGCCGCCTCGGTTGGACATCGCTGCGCAACGCTCATGGGGTGGAGGACATTAGGTCGCCGAAAGAGGGCGGTCCCCGCGGTCATTTGCGACAAATACGCACCCTTGTACATACGCGGACATGCGTTCCTGCAGGGAATCCGGGGACTGCGCGGGACTCTTCCAAATTCGGCGACCTAATGTCCTCCACCCACGCTCATGCGCTGCGGATGCGTACTTGCTACGGAAAAGGGAGCACGTTCTTGACACAGATTGTAGTACTTCTAGCGTAGTTTATGTTCAACTAGCAATTCAGCTGATCAATGCGGATTTGATTGACAGTTTATCTCGATTTGGTCCCATAGCCTACGTGAAGTATCATTCCAAGCAAGGTTGGGCATTCGTAGAATTCGAAGACGAGGAAGGTAAGCAGAAATAGTTAACATTTTTTTCTTATTAGTGCGATTAAATTACACTTACTGGTTCTTTTTACACTTCTGTTCAGTGGGGGTTAAATTTAGTTTGCAAGGTTAAGTTCATGTACTGACTATGCATTAGTACTTTTACGACAAACAGTCGATTTCCGCCGTCCATTCATGAAATTAAGCATGAAAATTGAACTTTGCATTTCTCGAAAATGCCGGTAGTGACGCATGCAGCTTAGGGATCGTTCATACCGCGCACAAAGGCGGACGAAGCCGGACAAAGGCGGACGAAGGCGCGTGTGAGTGTGTGTGCGTGTCGAGAGAAACGAGACGAGACGAGACCGCGCCTTCGTCCGCCTTTGTCCGGCTTTGTCCGGCTTCGTCCGCCTTCGTCCGCCTTTGTGCGCGGTATGAACGATCCCTTAGCGGCCGCAATCCATCAAGCTGTACGATTCATTTGACCTCATATGAGCTGTTATTTTTTTCTGTCTGAGTCATGCAGACATCTTTCTGAGCTGCGTCCTTTGTAGTACAGCTTTTGAGTTGGATCGTGTAGTTTGCTTGTTTTGAGGCTCTGAAGCTTGCGTGAAGTACGGTTATGAGAATGCGGTATGTATTGGCGGAAATGAGGTGTCTATGATGTTCTCTCTTCACCATATTCTCGCACGCGATACTCTAGAGAGAAGGGAGCAGAACAAAGTGATTTTGATGTCCGTCAGCAACATTCAGAAGGAGATAAAAGTACAGGTTTGATCGCTCAAATCTGCTATTCTTAACCGAAGGCTAACTTTCTATTATAAGAATGTGTTCGATGTCTGCTCTGTGTTTGGTGAAGTGGAGCGCATAAAGATCACCCCAATGTCGCGAGGTAGTGTGGCGGAATTGCTGGTTAGTCCATCTTTTTTTTGGAGATAATATCCAGGCGATCTCTGTATGAGTTAATGCTGTGCATGCTCCATGGAATATGGATGTTAGCTTCCATTTTGAGGTGTATGTCGAATTTGACAATCTCGAGGCAGCTCATGATGCAAAGCTAGCTGTCAATGGTGCCTTTTTCTACAACGATTGTAACCTTGTTCACTGCGAATATGCGTCGGTGTGTTTGTCATTCTTCCGCAGTTCAACAACTACAAACCTATTTGTAGAAGAGCACTCTCGAGATACCGGAGAACACTGATCATGCCTGTGATTACACTCAGTTGAAGCCTGTAAAGTTGGAGAACTCTGGTCAGCACATCTCAGACAGTTTGAACATAATTACCTTTGTGAAAGATAGAAAACGGGAGGTCTTCTATGCAATAGTCAGGGCTCAGTGCAGAAAACATAGAAGCACCTACATTTTAGGGCAGAAAGCAAAGAGGACATTATACAAAATGCTGTCCCAAAGCGACCGCCTAAGTGAAACACACTTTGGAAACAACTTACTGAACGTTTGACATTGCACCGTTCTTTCACAAAGCGCGTACAGTTTGAATGCAATGAAATATTAAATAGCCTGTTTGCTTCAAATCTGGACTCTATACGCGATTCATGACACGCAAAGACTGGGCGTTTGCGTCCGACCAAGATAGTTCGCGCAGGGAAGAGATTGCAGACGGTGAAAGCAACAAAAGAGCACTCGGTCAGGGAGATGCCGATATGTCCGCAGTCTTTGCGTGCTATGAATTGCCTATACATGAGTAGTTTGCAAAAGTTACCCGTATTAAATTCTAAAAACTTGGGTAACGTTCTAGTCTTTTTTGCACTAAAATCTCACAGAAAAGCCTCCTATTAAATAAGTTTGCAGATAAGATATCTTATTTGCAATCTGATGGAAGATATCTGATATCTTGCAGATAAGTCCGCACTTATCTGGCAAGATTTCAGAGTAGTTATAACGGAAAGAAAACGCACCTATCTGTAGGGCGGACTTATCTGAAGGGTTTTATCTGTGTATGATTTTAGGGTAATCGTCCTCTATGCTACTACAGGGCATTTGTAGCAGAGGCCAAAAATCCAAAATTCGCCCTTTCTTTCTCTCTTCCGACATGCATTCTGTCGACATTTGCTTATTTTACTCACTAAGCGCAACATCAAGCAAGCTAAAATTCATTTTTACATCCTAAGTCTCCGTCAAAATGTTATTTCGTGTTGCTTCGTTGTCTACAAGGAAGACTTCGTAAAATTATTGAAAGTCAGGGAACACTGCTTTTTGGAGCTAGGAGTCGTGTGCCGTGCCCTGGCTATAGCCTATCTCAGCTGTAGTGCCCTTTTCGCGTGCACACACGGTACGCAGAGCGGGGACCCTGCTTGTGCATCATCTGTACGGCCTGTCTAAATGCTCAAACCAAACGCACATGAAGGCCGCTCGAGGAATTTGCGAGGAGGATCTGCCGTCTAACAGACTCTGCGATTGAGACAGATTGTATGGAGTTATATGGATAGCCTTTGACCTCTCAGGGTGCCTTCATACCGCGCCGGCAGCCGCCGCTAGCAGCCCGTAGCAGCCGCCAGCAGCCCGTAGCAGCCGCCAGCAGCTCGCAGCAGCCGCCAGCAGCCCGCAGCAGCCGCCAGCAGCCCGCAGCAGCCGCCAGCAGCCCGTGGCAGCCCATAGCCGCCGCCGGCCGCCTTTGTTATAGGAGCAAAAACGTCAAAATCTTACTACTTTAAGTGCTCCCGCGTACGCTTTTCATCTTCTACACTTATTTCTTCTTATTATCGCTAATATGCAGTTCAACTCTTCACAATTCATTTGTGTTCATTGTTCTGTTCCGCACATTGTGTCCTATCGCGCTCACATTCTTTTGCAATCTGTCTTATTTGAAAAGATGTGAGCGATTAGCAAGAAAAACTCAACCCGCAGGAAACCCGACGAACCTGCGAAATAGTAGAATGCAAGTTACATATGCACCGATAGCCAAGAAAAAATTGAAGCAAAAGCATACTCAAAAAGCAAAATGCACACCTGCTGGAACCGGACGCATCCAAAGTCAGAGCGAATTACACTGGAAAGAACCTTCTATCAACTATGGTTCAACAGGATGACCATACGGCGAGAAGGTAATGACATTACAATGGGCACATATATGATATATGTGGTCAAACTGCGTACTAGCGGCAACAAAAGAAAAGCGTAGAAAGTGAAAAGCGTAGACAGGAGCACTCAAAGTAATAAGATTCTGATAATTTTGCTCATATAACGAAAGCTGCCAGCGGCGGCTACGGGCTGCTACGGGCTGCTGGCGGCTGCTAGCGGCTGCTACGGGCTGCCAGCGGCGGCTGCCGGCTCGGTATGAAGGCACCCTCAGTCTGGATGAAATAACTATGATATGAGCTTTATATCAACAGTTTGCAGAGCTTTTTCCATGCGAGACTATACCACAGAGCAGTAAAGATGAGAAACCGCTAGCTGTCACAACCAAAGGTATACCTTTGTTTTTGAACTGTTCGAAGTTGTGATCTTATAGGGGACTTATAGGGGATGCCGACAATCATGTAAAGCGTTGTTCCTTATCTCCTCCTCTCTCAGAATGCAAGAAAGACAACTACTACGTTTTTGATAGTGGCAGTCACAGTAATGATACTGTGCAAATGGTATCCATAAAGCAGGAGCAGAGCTACAACTTTGGTGATGATGGACAAACTCATTGCAATCAATTCAGCGAAGTAACGTCCTTGATTTCGATTTTCTGCTCTTGATCAGTTGTGTTTCTAGCCGAATTCGTCTCCTCCTCCTGAACCGACTTCGGCCACAGTCGGAGAGAGCGCTGGCTCTGAATCTAACAGCCAGTCCTCTTCGAAAACGGTACTAGAAATTCCTTTGCCTCCAGTGTTACCGACCGCTGTGGAAAACTCAGGAGGTTCGAGCTGCGAATATCTTGCTTCGCCGAATCTCACAAAGAAGCGACTTTACAGGTCACTCGTCAACTCAAACCATCAGTGACGTGCGCTACAGAAACTTGGTTGATCTAACCGTCAATGTGAGTGTGTTGTGCAGCTATTATCATTCTATGCTATGGGGGGTTTCTCACTTTGATTAGTTGTATGACATTAGAAGAGACATGAACTAGTATAGGCTATCTCACTGAGTGTCACAGCGCTTTAGCGGCTCGCGTTATCGCGTTCGTCTCGCTCGGGCCTTGCGCTGCGTTTAAACGATCCTTCTTAACATTTCTTCACACCTCAGCAGCCAACGGCATGGTGGCGAGAAGCGAACCGCTAGAGCTGTGGCACTCGAATCGAGGCAGGATGGAGCAAGTCAAACAAAGTACGCTTACGACTGATTACGGAGAGTTGCTTTAGTTGTGCTCTATATCTGAGGCTAACCGATAACATATGGCCGAACCCTGGGTTCCACTTGTGTTGCTCTCATCTCAACTACGATAACATCCAAAATGAACTGAACTACTTTTGTGGAAATGAGGTGGAAAACTTGGTGAAAACGCATAGTGAACACCTTTATGAATCAGGATGGTCCGCGATGTATGATGGTCTACGGCATCGAACTACAATCCGGATTATTCTCTTGTGATAGACTCTTCAACCTCATGTGCATGTATGGACATGTGGTGGCAGTAAGTGTACGATCTCTGCATTTTATTACGCAATTGACATTTTACCTTAGATAAAGCTTGTCACACGGATTAAAGACGCAGCAATTGTGGAATTCGCACATTCGAGTTCGGTGAGTCGGGAAGTCACTGTAGGATGTAGGCACGATGGTGATCGATAAAACTTAAGCAGTAGTAATGTTATAAAATCTCTTAAGACCATTGTCGTTCGGTAGGGCTGCTATCATTCTCACATTTGTATTCGAATTTGCAGCGGCCCTCACTTGGACTGACGTATGCGTGCGCTGTACTTTCAGGTGAACATCGCTATGAGTATGCTAGAGAATGTGGTCCTCTTTGGTTGTACGCTTACTTTTGATTATGGACGGAACGATGCCATAAGAATGACTACGTACTATGAATAGCGCTTGTTCGAATGAAAAGGTAGAGGTATACTTCCAGTGAGCGATTTCCAAATGGAATGCCAATGTGCGAATTGTATACGAACTGCCCGCTGCAGAGATTCAGCCGATATCAAGCAGCCGAAAGCTCTGCAAAAATTCGGATTGCCCCTCCCTCTTCGATGCTGTATTGGTGGGATGCTCCCTCTTACACCACCAGGGAAATGATATACATGGTAACGATCTCTTCAGAAGTCAACCGAAAATGTTGGAAAGTATGAGGTGTGTTAATTTTCCATCTTCAGATGTTCGTCTCGGTTGGTGCAGCGTACCCATGTAATATTTTCCCATTTAAACCGGGCCCCTCATCATCAGTTGGCATAGTCGAGTTTCCAACTTCGCGACAGGCGGCTGAGGCGTTGATGCTTGTTAATCACTTTCCTATATTGTTGCCTGGATTTCGAGTAAGTGGTGTTTTTTTTTCATACAATATGTAGATTGTGCCAGATTACAGCAATTGCAAACATTTTAGGGACCAATGATTCTTAAACTCGCTTTTGCTACGAGTAAGCATCATCAGCCCACGAATGGACAACAGTAACATTGCTAGTTTCCCAAACAACTGATGTTGCTGGAGGTTTCATTGCATCAGTACGAAAGGGTCTTTCTGATTGTTACTGCCTCTTTTTTGTTTTGCTGTACTCGGCTGACCGCAACCGAGGGATTAGTAACGTATCAATTGTTTCTCTGCACATGTTACTCACACAAAGGCGGTTCTGGGTTTCTTTTTCTCGCTACTTTCAATGGGATGTGAAGTCTCAGATAATGTGATCTCTTTTTACTCGTAGTTACTTATTCTCACTTACCAAATCCGGTGAAGCGATGCCTGCTATAATATAAGGGTCTTTGGGCATAAGATTTGCATGTTGAAGATCACTTGAAGATAGTAACATGATCAAGCTGGTGATCATGGATAGCACTTGAGTAAATAAAGCTAGAAAATTTCGAAAATTCTATCCATCTTGATTTTCTGAGTGTACTGTCCAAGATGCGCAGCTTTCAAGAGTGTTTAGTTGCTTCCTGATTTTTTTTTTCGTGAGGAGCCATGGATGCGGCGTGAATGGCCGACCCTTTCTGAGCGAGAAGGCAGCGGCGGCACTTCACTCATCTGCCACGGTTTTCGGAAATGCTGGATGCTGCCAGGCTATTGCCTCCAAGAAAATCGTTTCTATGTTGAATGTTTTTTGAGCGCGTCATACATTGTCTCAATGAGCGCAACACATCTCCTGCGGCCATGTGACCCGAGGTGATGGATCTGTGTTGCTCTCATTGAGTGCCTATAATTGTCAACTACAAGAGCTCTTTACTATGAATGGGATCGTTCAGATCCGATCAGAAGTCGATGAGTCATTTTTTGCAGCTTTTGCTACGCGCTATCATTTTGTGATCTTTTACCCGGGTGTAGGGCGTTAGGCGACAAACCCAATTTTTTGACCCCAAAGAGCTCCCCGTGCAAAACGTCTCTTCCGCCAAAAACAGGGGGGTGGGGGTCGGGGCCGATACATTACCCGACGCCAATGAAAAAATGGTGCATAGTCTTGACTTAAGGGATTTACGTTGCTTGCATTTTGCACGTTTTGTCGCCTAACGCTTGCCCTCCCTTTTACCCAAGTGCACTAGATTTGAGTTCAAAGGCTTCTTATGATAAATTTGTACTTTGTCTGTTATGTAAAAGGGAACATCGAATTTTTTCAGCTTTATATCAAATCATCTTGATTCTCTTTACCTAATACCTTGTTACGTTGCTTTGATAATGATTTGGATTTTGTATCGAATTTTCCTCATATGTTACTCATTTCTCGCTATTCCACTTAATACAACCCAAAAGTTGAATATCACGAATTTCGCTAAAAACTCAGTTAGGGGGTTATTCGACCTGCTGATTACGAAAATGATGTCCATTTCGGGTGGTGGGGGTTTTTTGAGGGGTTACGGTAGGCATACGGTATGGGGTCAAAATCGCAGAATTCGCTTGAACTTTGCGTAGGGGGGTTGTTCGACATGCCGATCACGAATATCACACTTTTTCCGCACGAAAACTTCTCCCTGTATGACTACGGTAGGTGCACGGTAGGGGGTCAAAACAAAGATTTGGCTGGGATTTGGTCTGTAGGGGTTATTTAGCGCGCTGAACATGAATATCATATTTACTTTGTACGGTAGCGCCATTTTCTCGAGTTACGGTAGGTACGGCACATGGGTAAAAATTTCAAAATTGCATAAAACGTTGCTTAGAGGGGTTTTCAAGCATGCTGATAGTTGTGGAGTTATGGCACTTTGTAGCGCTTAGGGAAGCGCCTTCTCCGCTTTTCAGACCAATCAAGATCCCAAGAATTCGCGAAAACACGTTATAAGCGAAATGCGGTATTCGTGATGAGCACATCAGATACCCTGCACAAAATTTCAGGCAGATCTACGGTTTTGACCCCTTACCATATACCTACCGTAACCGAAGTCCATGATTTTCAATTTTTGGGTTGTATCAAATGGAATAGTACCCATTTCCGATATTGCTTGATATATGTGTGCTTGTATATGAAGAGGTTCTACGTATGAATTGGCACGAAGTAATATCACAGAGTTATGTGTCGCTTGTATTTTTAATGTGATTATGTCGAGCATGAAGCAGGGGCCACATCTAACCTTCCAGCCGTTCAGAAGCAAGCTGGAGATTATTAAGATTTCATGGCGTTACAATGGCGTTGCACTTCAACTCCATGACTACTGCAGAATCAAAATGTTGAGCAGCATCAGTGAGGCAAGCAGTGATGTCCGACTGAGCAACATGGTGCTCTTTACGTCATGCAGCAACGAAGTGGTACTGATGAGCTTCGTAACCTTGGACGATGTCCTGTTCAGCTACGTGTATCGGTGAGTTCATGAGATTTGATCTGCAAAAATTATAGGGATATCCAGAACCAAAATAGGCTAGGGGACTATATGTCGCCGAAAAAGGGCGGTCCGGTCATTTGCGACAAATACGCACCCTTGTATATGCGCGGACATGCGTTCCTGCAGGAAGTCCGCCCGGGACTCTTCCACATTCGGCGACATATAGTCCACCCACCAAAATGTTCATTGTAATAGTTTCTTTTGCAAACGTAGCTACAAAGGCTTTGATTGTGCTTTAAGCTCATGGACTTCGTGCAACACTTTCTGAAGGTTTGCATGGCTCTAATATGAAGGTTTGAGTTGGTGATTTTTGGAGAAATCGCGCCTCGTGATCTCCCTTATTGGCTACTGGAACTTTTATATATAAGTATTTTAGCTGTTTATGCCTTTTTTTGCGGATTTTTTGATTCAGTTCGACGAGGGGCAACGAGGTTATCATAGAAATTTGATCTGCCACTTCAGTACTTTGACTTCGCCGGTTCGTTTGCATTTTTTTGAAGAAAGAAGACAAAGAACGCACTCTATACAGGTATGGAAGATTTTGTAGGCATATGTTTGCTTATTGCAGTCATATGAAAAATCGGAGAAAAAATAATGAATGTGTAAAAAACTAGCATGGTGGGTTTTGTCTTGCCACTTGGAGCGACCTGTTTGGCAGTTTGGAGAGACTTGATTACGGCTCAAGGCAGAGTACGTTTCCGAAAGGCTTAATAATTTGTCAAATTTTGCTGTTTTTTTTTTGGTGTCGTTCTATACAAAAACTCCTATCACTCTGGTCGCGAATAGATCTTGTACTGATGTTTGTCATTCTGAGATGTCAAGAGCTTTTTGCAACGTCTCCAGTTTAGTTCTTCTGCTTTGGCGACGTACCCATGTCATTAATCATGTTAACATCAACATTAAAACCCTCCGTCGTACTTCTGTCATGTTAGTTCACCATGTAGATGTGAAGGGATAAAGTCAACATTTTCGAATACTTTCTGATGCTAGGAACCTGTTCTAAGTAATCTCATAGACACTTAAATTTACGATTATTTCTTCAAAAAATTTTTTAAATTTTTTAACTTGATTTCATCGTGCTTTCGCCGTGCTTCCACATAGAGTGACTCACCTCTTATCATGACATAGATGCATTCGAGAGAATAAAAACTCACGAGAATGAGTAACATTTGAGAAAAAAATTTTACGCATTTAGGTGGGTGGGTTGCTCGCAATGTTACATTTCATGTGAAATGTTGATTTTGGTTTATTATCAGTCTAATGCGATCAGTGCAAGTTTCACGTTTAAATTTGACACTCATCACCTCATCGAAACTTGGTGTTTTCTAGCTTAATGAACCGCAACCATTAACCTACATAATGCTTAACGTTACATTCATTAAGGCAACTCAATATTTTTGGAATCCTCAACAATTTTTATCCAAAGCGCCTGCTTTGAAGTACCGAAATAGAACTTGTTCTAGAATTTCTGCAAATGAGCACCGCAGAATATCTGTCCTCTTTTCAACTCGCTTATGGTCATGATCATCTAGATTGGAAAATATTTCTTTTTTGGCTTCAAGAAGCAAAAACAAATTTGCGAAGACTGCTTATATTTCAAGATCTATGACTTCCGGATGCGTGCTTTGGTCGAAAGAGCGAGTATCATGGAAGCATCCATTTTGAAAATATCGTAAATAGAACAGGTACAATAGAATGATGGACTGGCATTGAGCTCCACCTCTCATATCTTGCCGTGACGGCCCGAGCGATATGGGGGGGGGGGTGGAATTTTTACATGAAGACAGGCGTCTTCCAAAAACTTTGGAATGCTTTCTAATATTGCTGACGTACACCCCGAAACAAAATTTTCTATGCAAAGCTAATTCGAGGATTCAAAATTTTTGAAAAAATTATTTCTATTAGGTTGGTGCAAAAGTTCTATCGGTTTTTTTCAATCCATCGGCAACCCGGTAGAATGAAAATAAACTAACACTTTAAAATGCATCCGATGCAGAATTTCTTCCTATTTACAGCTGCTAAACTCTCATTGTGTTTCGTTGCGAGAGTGACGAGATATTTGCCGGAAATTACGACTGTTCGTTTTAAAGGCACCGTCCACCCAAATTCTCGACTTACATGTTTTTGTCTCTTCCGGGCCTTCTGAAGGCCCTGATTTCGAATATGAAGTCGAGAATCCCAAAACCCCCATTTTGGAGAAAGCGGGACGGGTGGAAGTGCAGTTTGCAGGGCTGCGGCGCGGTTATCGCCTGGCGTATATCAGCGCCGCAGCCCCCAAAGCTGCAAAATGGGCGGAGTGACCACCTTTGGATCACGTATCAGTACCTTCCAGAGCGGATTTCTCGCTCCGGAAGCAACCCTTTGCGGGGAAGTTTGGGGGCTGGCCTAGTGTAGGGGGCCCACATTAGTATGCCATTGAATTTCGTGAACCCTCACTTTGGGTGGACGGTGCCTTTAACCAAGCCCAACTTCCGCTAATTTTCAAAATTATCGTATGACTCTTTCGGAGGAGCCCTAATAACCAGTAGATAGGGCAAACCTTTTGCCAACAGAAGCAGTTTGTAGCCCTACGGCTTGTCTTTCAGAATTTCTACGATCTATCAGGTTGTCCCATAAGTTCCGTCCGTTTAAACTTTCAATCGCAAAAAGTCGTGAACTTCTTGGTTTTAGACAGGCTCCAAGGAACCTTTTGATAGAGCAAAACAAGCTCTACAAGATGAGCTTCTCACTTTCGCATCAGTTCAAATCCATCGCGAGTTTGAAGCCAAAAACCAAAAAAATCCAAAAGCCCAAAAAATAAAGAAAAAATCGTAACTCCGCTTAGAAAAATCCTGGAAAATTCCTAACTTGCTCACAGATACCCTATCCACATCAAACATTTATATATACTGTTGCTGTATTTTTTCCTTGAATAGAAATCGAGAAAACGAAAATTTTCATGTTTTTGCCAAAGTGATGCTGTGCTGTTCTCGCACTAGTAGTTGTATATTACAGACCAGTACAAGTACAGACACAGATTTTCAGCGCTCTACAGGCTTTAGTTCTCAAGAAATAATCGTTTTAAGACGGGAACTCGACTGTGCGAAGCTAAATTCAGTGTTTCTCGAGAACTAGAGCCTGTAGAGCGCTGAAAATTTTTCTCTGCACTTGTACTGGTCTGTAGTATACAACTACTAGTGTGAGAACGGCACAGCATCACTTTGGCAAGAACATGAAAATTTCCGTTTTCTCGGTTTCTATTTGAGGAAAAAATACAACAACAGTATATATAAATGTCTGATATGATTAGGGTATCTGTGAGCAAGTTAGGAATTTTCCAGGATTTTTCTAAGCGGAGTTACGATTTTTTCTTTATTTTTTGGGCTTTTGGATTTTTTTGGTTTTTGGCTTCAAACTCGCGATGGATTTGAACTGATGCGAAAGTGAGAAGCGCATCTTGTAGAGCTTGCTTTGCTCTATCAAACAGTATCTTGGAACCTGTCTAAAACCAAGAAGTTCATGACTTATTGCGATTGAAAGTTTAAACGGACGGAACTTATGGGACAACCTGATATTTTTTGAAGTGACCAAATTTTACATTCAGCCTATTTTAACCTCGTAGAACATAAAATGCTAAACACTTCAGCCATCATTCGATCGCACTTTTTCTCCTTCTTCTCTGTTTTGCCAAGACAGGCGAAATTTGTGGAAAATCGCAATATTTCTCAATTTCAGGAGTGCGCACTGACATCTTATATATAAAGCTGAATGTCTGTCTGTATGTATGTCTGTACGTATGTGCGGAATAGAAATTTTTATTTCTGAATCGATTTGGACCAAACTTGGCACACATATACTTCGGGGCAGGGAGCGTGTCATAGGCTACTTTTCGTTATCGATCGATATCGATTTTATCGATTTTTTGCAAAATTTGAGCTACGGGGCTGGAAGTTGGCACAGGGGGGTAATCGAGCATGCTGATTACGAATATAATAATGACAGGGCCGGGCGGAGCCGGGTTTGCCAGCTAGTAACCTATGTTTCAAAATCTCCATAATTTGAAGCGAAAATCGCTCATTTACTTTGTTAATGGTAGCGATAGTAATTTGAGTTTTGAAACCTCAGTATTCTGTAGGTTTTAAAGTGCTTGGTGCAGTAACAGGTTATGCGAATTTTCAAAACACCAGACTTTTAGAAAATTATTTAGCAAAAATCTGAAAAAGCAGCTGAAGAAAAGAAAAAACTGCGCAAGTTGGCAAAAGGTCTGCCCTATCTGCTGGTTATTAGTGCTACCCCTAAAGTCTCGAACAAAAATTCTAAAAATTAGCCAAAGTTGGGCATGGTAAAAACGAGTAGTTGTAATTTCAAATATCTCGTCACCTCGCAACGAAACACAGTGGCGTTTAGCAGCTGGAAGGAAGAATAAATTCTGCATCGGCATTTTGAAGTGTTTGTTTATCTTTATTCTAACGTGTTTGCCGATGGATGGAAAAAACTGACAAAACTCTTGCACCAACCTGATATTTAGTACAAGTAAAAACAAGTCATATACGCAATCCATGACTCATCTAGGGTTTTTCTTATTTTCACGATTCCGAAATTGATTCTTTCTGCACTTTAGTATCTAAATAGGACGTCAATTGCTGTCAGATTTTCTACACTGCTTATGGTGACAAATAATGGGAGACGGTCAAGAGGCGCGATTTCTCCGGCTATCATCAACTCGAAACTTCAGTTTAGTGCTATACGTGTCTTCAAAAACCATCACATAAAGTGCATTGGATTACTATCTTCCTGAGGTTATCACTCGCCGAGTTTGATGGCTTTTGCTGGGAAACGGATCGAAATATTCACGAATTTGTTCTTAGCTGCATTTTCACGGGTTTTTGACCTTCAAAATTGCTCTTTTGAAATAATTCCAAGGTAGCAAGATTAGCAAGATTGAGCAACCCATGCAGCTCCTAAATATATCTCCTTTTATAATTTCAGTACTTTTCGAGCGTTCTAAAACACTTATTATGCGCTTTTTGCTGTCCATCTGGCAATAAAAATCGCGCCTCGTGACATACACCCACAAATAATTGCTATCATTTGGGAGGAATTCCAGCACAAGTTAATTCTTGGTTGTTTTTTAATACTTATAACAGTGATTCACAAAGCCGTCTGATGAAAGGTCGTGACGTAATTGGGACTGAGAGCTTTTTCGTTGACAACAATGGCTCCGTGAAAAATGATATAAACCCTGGTTTTGCACTGATAAAGATGTCTGAAAATTATGTCAACGCTGCTGTCAAAGTGTAGTAGTTCCTATTTTTTTCTAATAACCGCACTGCTTAACTTAGATAGCTATTGGTTTCGTAGGGAAGCCATTCTCTACCGCACCTGATAGGTCTTTTGCTATGCTTTTTGGATTTGCATACTTTGATCCTTGTATTTTTGACAAAGCACGTTCTTGAATTCTTGTCCAGTATCGTAAAATCGCGGCCTTTTTTGTTTGAATGGTATGAAAAGCACGATTCACATTGACAGCACATTGATGGCAGACGTCTGACTCTGCCCCAGTGAGAGATATACAGCTAGCGTCATCTGTCGATCTCAATCAAAATGGCCGTTGATTGCATTTATCAGGGCTGGCGTGATCCATCAGCGGCAAAATTGTATGGAGTGTTCTCCATCATGTTGATTCTTCAACTTTTTTAGCATAGTTGATCTTTGTTCTACTCCTTTCCAAACCGTTCTTCAAGTAGCCTGCGCGAGTGAAAGCCTCGAAGTCAACAAGACTATCATTATCGTGCTGTTGACTCAACGATTTGATGCGCATCGTGCTCACAGAAAAGCCACATGTTTTCTAAACGTTACAGACTCGTCATCACTAATGTTGAGTACTGCGTGTGCTGCAAAAATCGTGGAGCTCAAGTCTGAATGTGTCAGGAAGCAACCAGCATGTTCCCACGTCATCTATCAAGACGATCCACCTAAAGAAGTTTTCCTGTACTTGATGCACTGCGTAGGTCTTTTTTATCTACACTTGTGATGCGAAATGTGTAAAGTACAGAGTTCTTAGGCGTATCAGAGCGAACTGTGGACTCTGGCTGAGACCGATTTGGCGTTATGGAAGAAGGCGTTCGGCAAACGTTTCCGCATGCTTGTTGCTTATGATCGAGGCAGGTTTCGCCTATTAATTTTATTAGGACACTAAATTATGTGTCAGATGGGCGGTCCAGTCATACAGTCTCACCACTGTTCAAGTTCTTAGATCTGGGTTTCTCTCATTTCTAGCGCTTCGCGGGATGGCTAATCAAAAACTAAATTTCGTTAGCAACGTCAAAAATCTATTTTATGGAATTCCTTCTAAAATCTTACATGAAAGAATTTGAGCGGGTGCCATCATGATTTTTCTGCATGGGCGGGCGGGCCTTCAGTGGGCGGAGTCCAATGTTCGATCTTCGTTCCGAGCAATTCCCTCGCTCTTGCAACGACCTCTGGCAGCGAAAATCGAGCAGTTATTTAGATGGGAGTCACACCGTTATTTAGCATGATAAGTGTTGATCATGTTTGAGTTAATCACTCTTCCTCCCTTTTGACGAAAACGTTTAGGAAAGTTTTTCTCACTTACCTCTCTCTAACAGGGTCGACAAACGAGATGGAAACATCTAGGAGAAATGAAATAATATCTTTAGAGCCCTTTTCCACACATCACAGAAAGGTGTAAGACAGTATTTCGGGAAAAGGAGTGTTGGTAGAATAGCGAGGTGTAGCAACAGTAAATCCAAACGCATGCAAATAATGGCGTAAAAACAGAATCACCTGATAATGAAGGGAATAAGCATATGAAAAGGTTTATCATGAAAAGGAGATTAGTAAAGGAGGGAAAAAAAAGGAAAAGATGTCGATCATTCTTTGATGATCCCTTGTGACAATTAGCCTTATTAGCTCAATATTCTTCTTTTCGCAAATAATAATGGAAACCTCAGAGAAAGAGCTCTAACTTCTTATTTTTATTTTATTGACCAAGCAATCTGGCCAAAAGATTAAAAAGATTGTAATAAATGGTTAATTCTGCAGAAGTTAAGCTTGTATCCAAAACCCACGCACTTCGCGGAATTCTTTTAAGAGCTTCCAACTCTAAAATTCCAAAAAAGGGTGTTGTTGCTGTTGCGTCCCCTAAGGACTTTTTTACAAGCTAGTCAATTTATCAAGTTCTCTATTATTCCTATATTCAGTCTCGTAACTCGAATTTCCCAAAGATTCCAACCTTCTTTCAGAGAGGCTTTTCCTCCGCACTATTTAAGAGCCATGGATAATCTCAAAAAATTTCCGCGGGTACAAGTTTTTGGTGTGACCTCGTTATTGCTGTCAGAGTTATTCAAATAGATAAGATTGTTGTAAAAGTGCGCGTGAACGAATGTTTCACTCTTTAGATTCGTTAGAACCTATTGGATGCATCTGTTCGGCCACGTATCTTCATCGCGACAGGAATGCGAAAACGACAGTGATTGGCTTGTATTATGTCCGAGAAGAGTTCCGGTAGTTTGTTTTGTCTATCTGTAGTCACTTCTTTTCTAGAATTCTTACTTTTTTCAGCGGTAAAGGTATTGGAAATGAACTCTTCAGAAGAATTATAGCAAACAAAGAGCACCACAATTTATATCTGAACGGAAGTAGGTTTTCTGAGAATTGTTATCCCTTAGTTTCGTAATCTCATGTTTTTGATTTTCTAATCTCATCTCTTTTATGTAATTGAACCTAAAAAGCTGTTGCAGTTTCTAACATGGTCAGGAAGTACCAGATCCTTTACAATTTCGCTCTTGCCACTCCCTGGCGAATTGTTTGGTATCAGGTTTGACATCTCTTTCCTTCGCTTTTGTTCTTGCATTTGTATTTTTTGTTGTTCAGATTGACACAGAGAATCTTAGTGTAGATGAACTTCCACGTCAAAATAACAAAACTATCGCTGTCATCGATGTATGTTCTCCTTTTTCATACGAATCATATTAGCTATGGTACTGGCATTTACAGGTGGCAGCTGCAAACATCTCGCATGCGCTGGAGTATGACAGTCGAGTGCAAAATGATCTCGATCGTACCTCATATATTCGGTCATTTACAACTCAGCCGTGTGCAGATTCAAAGGTAAGAAATTATTGTAAATCTCCTGAGGGGTTTATGAATGTGATTACTACTGATTTTTACCTCAGAGCCAAACCTGTGATTTGAAATTTTTTCCCTACAGTGACACCCCAGAGTTCCGGAGTGCAAATTTTACGAAACTTTAATACATCGATACGTGTAGAATTTTCTGAAATTCGAGATTTTGCAAATTCAATCTACCCATATAATGTTATCCATTGCAGCTGGCAATATTCGGCGGAGTTGTCGTTGGCATAGGCGTAGCACGGTTGCTGTACAATAATGAGCTTTTTATAGGACCTCTGTATGCGGACAACTTTGTGAGTTTTCTGCTATTTTTTTCGAATGGTAAAGCTTAGGATGGATTTTTGGGGTTTTTGCTTCATATTGCTTGTAAAATTAAAAAGTTTTCCACTTTGCCTTGATTATCACATCCAGTTAACGATGATAATCTTTTCGTTCAGTATACGGTATTGCGTTTCAAAAAGATGGGAAATAAAATACTTATAGCAAATGCTCAAATTATTCGCATTCATTATTGAACTTTAGGAGGTAGCTCGCGTTTTGATCTACAACTTACTAGGTGGCAAACATCACGGGCGCTATCGAAGTGTGCAAATACAGTTTCCCTCTGTAAACGAGGAAGCATATCGCTTGATGAAAGAAATCAGCCATGGGAAAATTTCTGATGATGAATTTATGCAAGGCGAGTTATTGTTTGATTTTTTCCGCTGTTTATTATCAGAATTTCTTAAGGTCTTTCAACTAAGTTCCGTATTGAGACGGATCCGATGAAGATATACTCAACTACTGAATACGACATCAGTGTATTCTAAGCAGGGCCTGGCACCAGCTGGCACGGGGCAAGCTGGATATCGTTTTTGGGACAAAAAGCAAGGGGGATATCATTTTTGTCGGCAAATTGCGACGTTTTTTTAGTCGACGTTTCGTTTTCTGGGTGTTTTTTTTACGTTTAGGGTTTGGGGGCAAGGGGGACTTCGCAAAACTTAGTGAAAATCAAGGGGGGACTTCGTTTTGAAAATTCTCTGGTGCCAGCTGGTGCCGAGCCCTGATTCTAAGGGTCTAAATGTGCAGATATATGTGTGCCTCATTTTAAACATTCTTATGCTGCTTTTCTAACCTTCCGCTTTTCTAATTTTTTTGTCATGTGATTATTACCTCGAACATCCTAGTGATTTTGAATCATCTTCCTTCTAAAAATAATTTTCATGTTTATTGCTATGTTCCTAGTCAGTCTTGGTAAAAGAAGAATGTGCATTATAGTATGAAAGAGCTTACAGTAAAATTTTGGCAGTAAATGTCTTTTAAGCTGTATAGGGCTTCCCATTCGTGTTGTACTTTTTGCCACTGGCAGACTGGTACACTTATTTCATATTCGACATTTTCGTCAGGTGCTACAAAAAGCTTTGTTTCGGACTCATTAGTAGCCGACTTAGTATGCAGATAGTTCACGTAGAAGACACGTAACCTTACTATAAATGATGCGGAAGAAGGCTTGGAAGCTGGTTAGTCCAGCCCTTTTGTTATAGTGGTCACTAGCTTGCTTACCCTGTTCCGCTCGGCCCTGTCATAACACTGTAACAAAGGTTCCATCCCTGTCTCTGTACAGCCTTTCCCTGTGCCTATTTCTACACTTCATTTCCCGTTCCCTGTGTTGTTTTCGAAATCAGCATGCCCACTTAGCCCCCTGTGCCAACTCCCAGCGTTTCAGCTCATAATTCGAAAAATTGATAAAATCGATAAAAGTATTAGGTAGTACCAAAAACTAATATTGTATTCGTGATCAGCATGCTCGATTACCCCCTGTGCCAACTCCCAACCCTTCAGCTCATAATTTGAAAAAGTCGATAAAATCGATAAAAGTATTAGGTAGTACCAAAAACTAATATTGTATTCGTGATCAGCATGCTCGATTACCCCCTGTGCCAACTCCCAGCCCTGTAGCTCAAACTTTGCAAAAATCGATAAAATCGATAAAAGTAGTCGATAATTTTGAAAGCTAATATTGTATTCGGAATCGCCATGCTCACTTACCCCCTTGTGCCAACTCCCAGCCCCGTAGGTGATCTCCACAAAAATCGATAAAAATCATCCTTCGATAACGAAAAGCCTATGACACGCTCGCCCCCGAAGTATATGTGTGTCAAGTTTAATCCAAATCGGTTCAGAAATAAAAATTTCTATTCCGCCTATATCGTGCATCTCTCAGAATTGTTCTCATATGAACCATCACGTGGCTGCCTTTCGATCGTCTTGACCGTTAACTCCAGCAAATTTAAGGCGCTAATTCGGAGTTGACATGTCAAAATAATCGAAAGACAAATACGTTCGCGGTTCATATGGGAACAATACTGGGGGATGCACCACACGTACAGACATGCAGACAGACAGACAAACCACGTTCAGCTTTACATGTTAGAATTACCGAGAGAAGTGGGGTAACGCAACCTTATTATCATACACTTGTGAGTCCGAGAAACTGATGTTGTGAACCTTTATAGCTTTAGTTCAATTAGCGAACAAAATTGCGCTTTCTTCAGTTTAGTAGATTTTTCGCTTAAAGGCAGTGTCTCACCAAAATTGAGGTCGCGCGGATCTTCACATATTCTATTATAGGGACATCTAACGAGGCCATTGCAACAAGTTCCACTCAATTTAATCCTCTCCACGCTGAGAAAAATTCGCTCAAAGTGGCGCGGAGAGCGGTACGCGCGGACAGTTCCTTCGGTCTCCCCCCTTACGCGTTTGAACATGTCCCTCCACTTGACATCCACCTCCCCTCTGTTGTTGCCACTGTGGTTGAGAATGAAGTTGGAAGGCACAACTCGTCCACATTGCTTCCGCGGGGCCTCTAGAAAACAGGGTTTTTGGGGACTTAGTGAGATTTTAAGCCCATACAATGCTGAACAGGGTCCGACAGGCTTGCAAAATACAAAAATCTCGGCAACTAAATTTTGGTGAGACACTGCCTTCGAAACACTGTGCTTGCGGTGCCGAGATTAGCAACCAAACTTGATTTGAAAGCGTGAAGAAATAGCTTCGCTAATGCCGGCAGAGGGCTCGGCACGAGGTGGTTTTCCGAAAACGCAAAAAACGAAATCCCCTTGGCTTTCCGAAGATTTCACGAAGTCCCCTTTGACCCTAAACCCTAAAAGTATTAGGTTGTAAGAAAGTTCTCGGACACTTGCGACACAAAATTGTTTATCTCACCATTCAAAAACAACAATACCAAATCATCTAAAATATCGCCATTGACATCGATGGTCTTCTGCCAACGCTTGGGTAAGTCGTGGATCCCTCTGCTCCAGAACGTGGTCTGCTGCGATTCGAAAAAGATGTTCAATGCCGCTTTGACCTCCTCGCGTTTCTTGAAGTCTTGTCCGTCCAGGTGGCGTTGGAGAGCAGAGAAAAGGTGGTAATCTGATGGAGCGAGATCAGAGGAGTACGGTGGGTGTGGTAAGACAGTCCATCCATACGTCGCCAGCTCGTTTTTGGTTGCACTTGCTATGTGGGGTGTCGTGTTGGAAATACACTTGAGCGTGCTGTCCTCGTGTGCTTCGGAGCTGAGACTTCAAATGTCGTAGCTGAGCAACGTAAGCTTCGGCAATTATCGTTGTACCTTCATTCAGCAGTTCTCGGTATTCAACATCGCGTCGGCTTACCATATGCACAGCATCACTTTCTTTTCGTGTGCGTCGGGCTTCGAGATGGCTTGCGCGTCGTCTTCTTTGTCTACCCATTGGGCACGGCGTTGGACGTTAGAGTACAAAGCCCCACTTCTCATCTCCAGTAATGAGATCGTCCAGCTAATTGTGTGTGCGCTCCTGAGTGAGAAGTGAAAGTGCGACGTCGGCGCTGCGATTCATGTCGTGTTGGGTCAAAGCATGGGGTACCCATCGACCAAGCTTCTGGACTTTGCCAGTTGACTTCAGTCCTTTTACTACAGTGACATGGGTGACACCAAGGTTCATCGCCATTTCACGCGTAGTCTTATAAGGATTCGTTTCCACTTCGTCCCGCAGCAAGTCCAAATCCAACTTCATCGGGCGACCTTTTCGGTCGTCATCTTCCATAGAATAGTCTCCTTCCTTGAACCTAGAGAACCAGCGATAGATGGTGCTTCTAGCCGGCGCATCTTCCTTATAAGGCATCTTGCAGGCGAAGATAGGTTTCGTTGGCATTGAGGCCTGATTGGAACAGCAATAACATAACATGTCGAATGTGGGTTTGGCATTTCTGCTGACAGTCGATATGGGTAACTGATTATCTGAGCTTGTCGTATAGAGCTGCTTTTGACCTATTTATTGATACCACATTTGACCCACCAAACTCGTTCTTACTTGTTTTTTACTTGTCAAAAAAGTTGAGTCAAAAATGTCCAAGAACTTTCTTACCAACCTAATAAAAGAGCGTCGACTAGAAAAGTCGTATTTTTCGGCAATAAAAGCGATATCCCCTTCGCTTTTTGTCTCAAAAACGATATCCAGTTTGCTTATGGCCACCTGTGTCGAACCCCGTGCCGGCACTTCGCAGGTGGCCAGCATAACAGGCGCAGCTGTTTGGACCCACTCTTGGCATCGTAAGCACTATATCATGCTAGAGCTCTAGTAGACTGTATAATTTTGCTAAGCTGGACTGAAATATAGTTGGAAAATAAGAGCTCTGTATGCTTTTGGCCCTCATGTCTGATAACCCGTAGGTAATCTTATTTTTCGTAGTCTCAATTTTAGATAGAAAAATATTCTCAGTTTTCCTATATCGCTCAATACTAAATAGATGGGGCGTGGTCAGGTGATATCATAATCAATGATGTCTGAATCACAATTAGCTTGCCCATGTGAAATTACTGCAGTACTTCGTCTTTACTGGGTCTTGAAAAAGTTCTACTTCAGGACGGAGATGTTGCCTTTTGAACTTCCCGACATTATCATCATAATGACTATTTCGAGGAAAAATCAGGTAGGTTGTCCTTGCTGATCGTGCGCCACAGAACTTTTATCAGAATCTCGTTCAGATCAAAACAGTTGGGGTGATAATTTGGTCCAAAATAAGCTCGGCTCATGAGCATGTATACTCAAAAAATTGTACTATCTGTTAGGATAAGTCACTGACGCTGAATATTTTTTGCTCCTCATTTGCCAATAATTTTGGAGTAAATACTCTACAAGCAATTCATGAATGTTGCGTTGCCTAGCATATCTGCATATCTTTACTGAGAATTATCTGCAGTCGGGAAATATCTGCGCACATCTCGGATCATTGCTTGAGCTTAGAGAAACAAACCATTATTTGGTGTCTAAATCTGCGTATTCCAAAATCGTATCAGAGAAAGCAAAAACGAGAGAGATGATTGACATTTTTTATGCAAAGAAAACTTTGTCGGACCTATCTTCCCAACTTCAAAAGTACAATTCTATTTTGGAAATACAGAAAAATCTCCTTACTGCGACCCTTACTTGATAAGAACTGCTAATTTACAGCAATATCTGAAGTCTTCGAAATAATCTATCTGCTGCGGCATTTTTTTGGCAATTTTGTAAGCCCACAGGAACTTCCCAGCTTCATGGACGTAGAAAAGCTTTTTTTGTTGCTTAACGTAAACATCACACTTTTGTAACACAAATCAAGATATTCTTTGGAATTTTGGGCGCAAGTTTGATCTTTCTTAACAATCAAGTCACAAGGAAGTCACAAGCTCAAATTCTTCCACCTTATCAAACTGGACTTCCATTGTGCAGTTCTTGCGAACTCACAGCGATAAGATAATGTACCCGTCGGGCGTTAACTTTTCATCACGCTACTTATTGCGTTGAAAAATGTTTCGATATCGCTCGAGCTGGTCTCTAGCTCTTGCTTTTTTATTGCCTATTGCCTGTGTCAGCGTTCTTTTTTTTTGTGAAAGTTGGCTTTATGACTAGTTATTTTGATCAAACTCTTGTGAAAATCAACTGTCTCATTTAGCGATCAACTGCATCTCCAAAACATGATTATCAAATCAGTTCTAAGCATCAATCGGTTCTGTCGCAGACTTTTACCTTGCTCTTGTGCCATTCAAATAATTTTTGAAAAGTGTCAGCTAGAGCTAATTTTTAGTTAACAAAAATTATGATATAAATTACCGAAACTTATTGCAACGCTTTTACCCAACTTCACTAAGTCAATCCCAGTCAAATAATTGACTATTTGTAAATGTAACTTTCATGATTCGTTTGGCTACAAAAAATATTTCGTGTAGGCGTTTTTATCACGTGGATTCACATGATAAACAGGGCTCATTCTAGCGTAAGATATAAGCAGAACCAGACTTTGTTGACATTATTAGTGAGGTGAAAAGATTTTGTCTTGCTTTGCAGAATTGCATGAGAGCGATGTAGCAGAAAATGAATGAGTCACCGCGGAGGCTTTTTGCCTCTAAGTTTGTCAAAAGAATTGGTTTTGTGATTTTTATTACCCTCTTTCACGCGTATAAGGCGCGGGGTTTTTTTTTTCCAAAATCGACCAGCCCAGACAAGCCAAAGGACTTTACAACCAAAGGACCCTATAACGTGCTGTATATTGCTTGAGAGAATCGTGCCATGTAAGGATTTCTTTCCGGAATACAGTGAAGCGGCTGAGCGGCTCGCTTGAAAATTCGAAAAAGTGCACCTTATAAGCGTGAAATTAGGGTACTTGCTCTATGATGCTAATTTCATTAGTTTACGCTATCAAAAGCTTTGTCTACTATAATACGTTGGCTTTTGATACAACCAAGCTACATCGCATCTTGAAGGTATGTAATATGAACTCCAAAGCTTGTATTGGTACTATCAAAATTTTTTTGAGAAGAATAGAATTTAGCGGCGAAATATTTTAGAGTGCCATTAAACTATACTATGTTATCGAAACTAATGATAGAACGTTGTTCTATATTTTTTTCTAGTGTCAGATGTTATAAAAAATAAATTAGAATTCTTCTTATTTATAGAAATATTAATAGAATTCGAATGTTGCTTTTGGGTAGGCGATAGCGAGCTTCCATCAAGAGCATTCAAATAGTTCTGCTCATCTATGCGAGCTTACATTGATCTTCGCTCTACGTTTTTTACTAACGAAAGGCGGAATGGTCAGAACTTAACCAAACCATTTCAAACAATCTGTATATCGCGACGCCTTAAAACGCTGACTTCAAATATACATGCCTGCCTATCTATTATGTGTGTATTATCACGACTATCTAGAAGGAGTTGTCAGCGTTCAAATATGAGAAATCATCCAAGTTCCATCGAATATAGTAGTTCGTTAAACGGCAACCCTGAGGTTGCGGATTGTAATGGCCACAGGTACTCTAATTATAAGGAAGAAGCACATTTACTAAAAACCTAATAAGTGTTAAAACGTATATCTTGAAACAGGATAGTTGTCAAAACAAGCACATTTAAACGCTCGTAACTCCTTCCAGATAGTGGTCCGGCAGACAATAAGCATATATTTAAGATCAGCGTTACAAGGCGACTCTGAAGATATATAATCTCGAGTCATTTGCAACTCAATATGTGAGATTGCACACTAAGCCCTATTAGCGAAGGCACTCCTTTAGTAACTTTCCAGTAAAACATTTTCTAGCCTAACAAAATGCAGGAATGTGTTCTACTGACTAACATATGATCAGCTAAAACAAAAGAAACAAGGTAACGAGGAGAAGCCACTGGAAATGAGCAGGTTCTAGTTTCGCAGTTCGTCGGTTAGCATGTATAGTGTGTACTAAGTATATTAAGTTACAAATGATTCGACGATATCTTATTTGAAATTGTTGGGTTAAGTTCTGACCATTCCATTAGAAGGAGTGAGGTGAAGCTTGTGTAATCTGAGCGTGCTCTGACGTCAACTTGCGAATGAGACCTTTCCGAAACATATCCATATGCCACTATTAGTACATGCTTTTCTCGCAATGACTTGCGTTCCGGAGAATTTTATGACCAGGGTCAAGCGTGGGGTGCGGCACGCCACACCTGAGGGGTCGTATTGAGGAGTCAAGAGGGGAGGGGGTCGTAGTTGGGCAATCTGATAATAGTGATAACATGATATTCGTATCCTATCCATAATTAGCATGTCAAATAACCCCTGTAGACAAAGTGTGAGCGAATTCTGAAGGTTCAAGATACTAGGCTACCTAAGTGAAATGGTCAAATTCCAACATCTAACTTTGTTTCAAAGGTCAATTAGCTATCCATTTTTGCACTCAAAACAAAGCACTACTCCTTCTTTGTCCATCTCAGGAATCCCGCTTTAGAAGACCTCCAAACTGTGGAATTAGAAGCCAACCAAATTCTCATTTTTCCCATTTTTCGGCGGCGCCGCGTTATGGAGCAAAGCTACCCCGCATTTGCCTGTGGTATATCCTGAGGGCCCTTTGCGTTGCGTCGCTCCTAATTGCATCGCACAGGAGCTAGCGCTACCGAGCGAATTGAGCCATTTTCCTCACTCTTCATAGAATAAAGAGATCAAAATGTGAATGATAAACGCATTTCAAGGCCAATTATAGAATATGAGGAGGAAAAGTCTGCAAAGCAAGCCAGAGAAAGTAAAAGATGAGTAAATTAATTTCTCTTGGAAACTCATGACGGAAAATTTCTATCCTATTTTTCTACTATTTCTCGTGTTCTACTTTTCTTAAACATTTTTAGATCAAATCAAGCATTGCATCATCTCAGATTCAGCCTTTGATTCATCCCTAGAAATTTATTTTCTTTAATTTTCTAAATTGCCGTCTTCTTTGTTTTCCTTATTGCATCTATACAGTTTCAA